GGGACATTTCTGAAATGCATTATACACCATTTCTCAGAGGAGTCCAGCAGAATCCCAATAGCCCAAAGCAGAAACCCACTTAGTAACACAATCTTTGCTGGCTTATTTCCATTCTTTTGCTCACCCTTTCTCCCCTCAAATTGCTTTCCTTGACCTTGGGATCACCTTTTAAATAAATTTTATGTGCATAAGACCTTGTCTCAGGGTCTATTTTTGAGGAACCCAAATTAAGACAAGTTGGGTATTGTATGACTTGTAGCTGAAAGCGTTCTGGTGCAAATGTGGTAGAGTACTACTGCCCAACAGAACTTTCTGTGATGGTAGAAATGTTCCATATCTGTGTGGTCCAGTATGGTAGCCATTAGTCACATGTGGCTATAAAGGTTGTGAAATGTGACTAGTGTGAATGAGGAATCGAATTTTTCATTTCATTTCACTTGAATCCACTTAAATTTAAATAGCTACATGCTGCTAGTAGCTACCATATTGGCAAGTACCGTATTGGCCAATTGTGAATCAAGTGAATGAGAGAATTGCCTCCTTATTTTTTTAAATGCCAGAATTCTATTCCACAACCATACATTTTGCGCAGTGAAGACTCATATTGCCTAGGCTTTGTGAAGAATACAAAGAAGAACAACATAAGCACCTTCTGCTTTCTAAAACCCAATCCAGTCAGGGAAACACACTAACATCTAAATATGTAAGAACAAGATACATGTTGTAAGAATGGTATAAACAAAGCACTATGGGAAATAAAAGGATGCACAATTAATTTCTGCCATAGAAATCCAAGAATACTTCACTGAGGTAGCATTTGAGCTGAATCATGAAGATAAATACAGTGTCTTTAGGGGGGACAGGAAAAGAATTACATTTATAGATAGAGAAAGGAAACATAGGGAAGCAGTACAAACAAGAAGGAGAATGCAAGTGGCCCAACAAAGCTATAGAACAAAACGTCAGGTGAGGCCGAAAGTACACAGAGCATTGCATTTCATGTTAAATACACTTAACTTTCATTCTATGAGGGATAGATAAGTCTTCAAAGTGTTTGAGCACAGGTGGTGATGACTGTTTGTTAGTAGCATAATTGGTTATAAATAGGAATAATTGGAAACTCAGAATTCAGTTAGAAGTCTACAACACCAGTCCACATAACAAATGGTGTTGATGTGAACTCTGTCCATAGCATTGAGAATAAAAACAAGAGGCAGGTTCAGACTTACCTAACACGTAGACGTGCTAGGTCCTGACCACAAACTGAAAGATGGTTATGAGACCAGAGTTGGAGATGGCAAGAGACTCAGGGAGGGATGAGGTTTGGGGGCAAAAGATACACGGACATGAAAGAGGTGCTCAGTAGACAACTGGACAGACAAATGCCAGGTGTTGGTGGTCAGCTGTGTCAAAAGATGCAGAGTATGAGCAGAAAGAATGAGAGAAGCTCTTGAAGTTGACTTGTAGCTCAAAAGGATGAAGAGTTTGGAAAAACCAAAGTGAAGCAAAGGGAAGGATTAGCTTTTGTTTTGTTGTGCTTTGTTGTAAGAACCACAGTATTCTTCTAGCTAATGTTGGGTAAGAGATGGGCACTGTTTAAGTTCACTTGTTGATTTGACTCATTATTTCAGGCTACTGAGTTTATTTTTTGACTACCAGTTACTGCACAGAAAAGTGACTGTGTTTTTCCAGTTGTTTGTTTTTGTATTTCTAGCCTGGGTGCATTATTTAAAATATAAAATAATTGAATACAAGGAAAAGCTAATCACTTTCCTGAAAGAGGAAGTGGTATTATAAAAATTGTGTAGTGGATGCTGTGGTACACAGCCTGTACTGTGGTACTGTCAGCTCCTAGCTGAGTTCTTTTCCAGGAACTATCCTTGGCCTTGACCACTATACTTCTTCCTTGGAGGCAGCCTGTAACCATTTACTGGTTGATGTAGCACTTTTGTTTCAATCCTGGTCAGTTCGGCAGTATCATCTCAGCACTTAGCTCCCTCAGGGATCAACTGAAGCCTGTGTTGGAACTTCGTGGCAGATCAGCTTCTCCATTGCACCCCTCACCCAGTCTCTCCCACGCATTATTCCCAGAGCACTCCCAATCAAACTAGGTGCACGCAAAGCTCCATCTTGATGTCTGTTTTCCTGAGGAACCCCACTCAAGGTGAATTGCAGAACAAAACCTTGGTATTTTTTTGAACTGATTTCTGATTTTTTAATTTAATATTATTTTTTGAGAAAGAAATAGAGAGAGCGCAAGCAAGGGGAGAGGGGCAGAGGAATAGAGAGAGATTCCCCTGCAGGCTCCATGGCTCAGTGCAGAATCTGAAGCAGGGCTCAATCCCACGACCCTGGGACCATAACTTGAGCCATCTGACTGAGCCACCCAGACGCTCTCTGATAAAACCATTTTAGATATCATTTGAAGTATCAGGATTCTTTTTACATTTGAAAAAGAAGATTAATGAGGTTTTTAAAAAGTTATGTTAATTTAATCAGCATGGTGCTGGTGCAACAATATGGAGACAAATGAATAGAGAGAACAGATATCTCAGAAACAGATCCTCCTGTACACAAGAATTTATTATATTATCAAGGTCATTGACATCACAAAAATATGGTAAATATTAATGGCATAACATTTAAAGAGGAAAGGAATGACTATTCAGTAAATGGTGCTGGAAACACTGGATAGGAAAAAATATTTAATTCTTATGTATTTAAATAAATCCCAGATGGGTTAGCTCAATTTTGCCAATAATCAAGGAAACAAATTTGAACATCCGTGAGATATTGTCTTTGACTTGTCATATTGATGAGGACATGGGGATAAAAGTGCCCTTATATACTGTTAGTGGAAATGTAAATTGCTGCAGCTTTTGAAGGGCAATCTGATATGTATTATGAGAAACTTTCAAAGTGAAGGGCAATCTGATATGTATTATGAGAAACTTTCAAAGTGCATATCTTTGATTTAATTTATTAAACTTTTAAATGGAAGAATAATATAAATATTAGGAATAACATATATACATGAGAAACTTTATAAAATTTAAGAGTTTTTACAAATTTATTCACTTGTGCACATGTAAAAATAAGCATGTGTAATCACATAACCACCACCCAAATCAAAATATGAAATGCTTTCAGCACTTTAGAAGTCTCCCTGGTGTTCTCTCCTAGATAATATTCCCCTCTCAATAAGTGAGTAAGACAGACACATTCTCTCATGGAACTTATGGTCTATTGGGGGAGACACTTTTTTTTTTGAGAGACAGAGTGTGTGCACATGCATGCATGCGAATGGAGGAGGAGCAGAGGGAGAGGGAGAGAGAATCTTAAGTAAGTTCCACACTCAGCACAGAGCCCTACGAGGCAGGGCTTGATCCCACTATCCTGGGATCATGACCTGGGCAGAAATCAAGAGTGAGACATTTAACCCACTGAGTCACTCAGGCACCCCTGAGGGAGATAAATATTAAGTAAATAATTACACAAGTGGTTATTAACAATTTATATCAATATTACAGTGAAAAATTATAAGTGCAAAAAGAGAAATACTATGTATATTGGGGAAACTGAGGGAAGACACATCAGAAGAAGTGATATTTAACATGAAAGATGAGAAGGAGTTAGTTAGGCAAGGAAAGTGGGGAAGGAAAAAAACCTTAAGGAGAGGGAACAATGTGTGTTCTGAGTTGGAAAAGAGCTTCCAGGGTCTGAGAAATAAAAATAGTGTTGGTTAGCACAAGTCAATGAAGGAGGCTGCAGAAACAGACAATAGCCAAACCCTGCATTAATAAGCTAGCAAAAGGGGCGCCTGGGTGGCGCAGTCGGTTAAGCGTCCGACTTCAGCCAGGTCACGATCTCGCGGTCCGTGAGTTCGAGCCCCGCGTCAGGCTCTGGGCTGATGGCTCGGAGCCTGGAGCCTGTTTCCGATTCTGTGTCTCCCGATCTCTCTCTGCCCCTCCCTTGTTCATGCTCTGTCTCTCTCTGTCCCAAAAATAAATAAAAAAAAAAAAAAAAAAAAAACGTTGAAAAAAAATTAAAAAAAAAAAAAATAAGCTAGCAAAAGATGCTTATTTATACCTAATCGTAATGGAAAGCCACTCTATGGTTTTAAAGGAAAGTACAACTTAAAATGATCATTTTGGACCACTGTGAATACAATGGGTTGTTGGGAAGACAGTGGAATTTGCGAGACTAGAAAACAAAACGAAAGGAAACAAAAAATAGAGAATTCCAAATGTATTTTGAAAGTTGCCTCTACTGAGCTCAATGACCAAAAGGATGAGAAGGCTGAGAACAACAGAGATTTAAATTTATGTAAAAGAAGAGCTTTGAAGGATCTACATAAAACTGCTGGCTATTACCTCTGCTTTGGGTTTGGATGAGGGAGAAGGATTGAGGTAGAGTTTCACTTTCTACTCTGTACTCTCCAAACTAAAATGGTGGTGGTGGTCATGATGATGGTAATGGTAGCTTCAAGTTATTTATTATTACCTGTGATTAATTGCCTTATTTAAAAGAAATAAAGGAAAGGTCATTAATTTGACTTCATAAAATAATTTTTATTCTATAAATTAAAGATAACATAATTCATATTAAAAAGCAAAGTATAAAACTGAAAGCAATATTACTACAAGTCTGATAGTGGATTGAGATAATTATTGAGTGGATTGAGTCAAATTATTAAGGTTTGGATATTTTCCACACTAATCAACAATTCACAAAAGGATAGAAATACTTTTCCTAGCTTTATTGAGATATAATTGACATATAATATTGTGTAAATTTAAGGTATTAAGGTTATTGATACACGTTTCAAAATGATTACCACCATAGGGTTAGCTAACACCTGCATCATATTACATAATTACCATTCCTTTTTTGTAATGAAAACATTTAAGATCTAATCTTTTAACCACTTTCAAGTACATAGTACAGTATTATTAACTTTCTTAATCATGCCTTACATGAGATCCCCAGAACTTACTCACCTTAGAACTAGAGTTTGTATCTTCTGTCCAACATCGCCGCTTTTCCCCAATCCTCCAGCCCCTGGTAACCACTATTCTACTCTCTGTTTCTACGGCATTTTTAGAATCTACATATAAGCGATGTCATACAGTATCAGTCTTTCTCTGACTTATTTCACTTAATATAATGCTTCAAACTCTATCCATGTTGTGGCAAATGGTAGGATGTTCTTTCTCATGTCTGAATTTTATTCTATTGTATAGATACACCACAAATTTTATCTATCCATCCACTGACAAACGCTTGTGTCATTTCTGTATCTTAGCTATTTTGAATAAGTCTGTAATGAACATGGGAGTCCAGATATCTTTTTTGATACCCTGTTTTCATTTCCTTTGAACATATGCCCAAGAAGTTGGATTACTGGATCATCTGGTTTTCCATAGTGACTGTACCAATTTACATTTCCATCACATCTCAACCAACACTTGTAATCTCTTGTCCTTTTGATAATCATTCTAACAGGTGTGGCTTGATATATTATTGTTGTTTTGATTTGAATTTCCCTGATGATTAGTGATATTGAGCCTCATTTCATTTACCTGCCATTTGTGTCTTCTTTGGAAAATGTCTATTCAGTTCCTCTGCCCATTTTTTTTTTTTTAATTTTTTTTTCAACGTTTATTTATTTTTGGGACAGAGAGAGACAGAGCATGAACGGGGGAGGGGCAGAGAGAGAGGGAGACACAGAATCTGAAACAGGCTCCAGGCTCTGAGCCATCAGCCCAGAGCCTGACGCCGGGCTCGAACTCACAGACCGCGAGATCGTGACCTGGCTGAAGTCGGACGCTTAACCGACTGCGCCACCCAGGCGCCCCCCTCTGCCCATTTTTTTAATCACATTGTTTGGATTCTTTGCTGTTGATTTGCATGAGTTCTTTATACATTTTAGATATTTATCAAACTGAGATTGAAGAGTCAGAGGGAGGTGGAGGAAGGAGTGAGATGGGCCATCTCAAGCATCAATGTAGTAAGTTAAATTGTTGTGAGTCTGGCAGTTAGGCACTACTGTATATGTGTCATTACAATTTTCATATTCTTTGACTTGAACTTTTACCCCAGGGACTCTATTCTCATGAAATAACACAAATATTAAGATGTCTTTTTGCACTCTCTGTAGCCATTATTTGTAATACAACATTGGAAACAATACAAGGCACAACAATACAAGGTAAATGGTACATCTATGATTATCATAGTTATTTAAATTTACATGGAGAAATGCTTAAGCTGTCATTTGAAATGAAAATATATTTTTTATGTCTTCTTGATGCATTACCCTTTTATGACTCCTGCCTATGCAGGCTATACATATACGTAGCCTTAGTCCTACCAGTATCAACAACCAGATTTTACCACAATGCAGCCACTTGATTTTAATCTTGGGCAATCTTTGGAAGGCCCAATTTACATCCCTGTCTGCCTTATCTAGCCTCTCAGATCTCCAGCCATTCCATTTAAGATGGATGGCATTCCCTGCAGGAACCCTACAGCAGGATTTAGATCCATTGGATTGTTGTAATAACAACAATATGTTGTTATATATGGAATAACAAACACATTCCAGAAGAAATAAATTAGAAAGGTTAAACTCACTGTAAGGTAATCTGAAAATCTGTTAAAAATAAAAAGAGGGCTGCTATAACAGTCAATGTAGATGGAAGAGAGCAACAGCCAGCAAAAGGGAGAGCCGAGAATTCATACTTGTCAGTGTAGCCAGTCCTCTGCCCTGTGTCTAACACACACTCCAAATCTGCTCAATGGCATGATTCCAGGTTAGTTTTGTGTCTGCACTGGACGGCAAAAGATTTGAAGGTCTTTACCTGCTAACTTACTTATATAGAAACTTGCATAGCATCAAACAGTTTACATTCAAAATGTATTTATTCTATTCCTAAAACATCTAACCTTGAGAGCAGGAGACTGAGAAAATTCAGACCCCGTAATCTCTGGAGAATGCATGGGGCAGGGGTGAGATGGGGTGGGGGAATAATAGAAGACTCACCGTCATTCTCCCCTTTGTTCACATACTTCATACATTACAGTTCCGTATTATTTTTTGACAATTTAAATAATGAAATACATCAGTTTCATTAAAAATACACATGTAAAAGCATATTACTATGTTTCCTATAATCTTTCATTATTTTTAAGGATATAGGAGTTGGAAGCGGGAAGAATGTATAGTATGGTTTACCTGTATTTAAATTTTTTAAAAATATTTATTCATTTTTGAAAGGTAGAGAGAGACAGCACAAATAGGGGAGGGGCAGAGAGAGAGGGAGACACAGAAACAGAAGCTGGCTCCAGGCTCCGAGCTATCAGCACAGAGCCCGACGCAGGCTCAAACTCATGGACTGAGAGGTCATGACCTGAGCTGAAGTCAGCCACTTAACCCACTGAGCCACCCAGGCCCCACTGTTTACCTGTATTTTAATCCTATTCAAACCCAGGATGAGAAGTAGCTGCCTGAAGCAAACCCAACAGAAGAGTAGTGCTGTTAGTGGAGGTGCTGGCAGTGGTAACAGCAGGCGTAGTAGCAGAGGTAGAATTAGTGGCTATGGCAATAGCGGTAGAACTTTATGTGTGTCCATTCAGCCCTGTGGATTTTTGTGACCTTCTTTATCATCATCATCCTAACAAACAACACTGTGACATCACTGTGAAATCATTCCCATTTCACTGAAGGGAAGAATGAGGCTCAGAGCTTTTGCCTAACAAATACTAAAACCAATACAAAATTCTATCACTTCATTCCTAGACCTGTCAGTTTCACTATTTTTCCAGGAACCTTCATATTGATTCATCCCAAGCCAATACACACAACAAATTGGCACAAGTATATTATAAATTCAAGTGTGCTGTGTTTCTCAATATGAAAAAATTGAATCCAATAATTTTTAATTATTTAATTGATTTATTCTAATCAATAAGTCTAACAGAATAGTGATGATTATAAAGCCTTCTGATTGTATTTATCTCATTGTCAGTGACCTTTTCCCAGAAAAGGTAAAACTGGAAAGGTATGGAAATGAAGTTCAGTGTGTCCTTGGGACACATTATCATTTTGAAGTAGTTCTGAGTAGGAAATGATCTACTATCGTGGCTGAAAATGAAAATTGCTGCAGGGTCATCTGGATTTCAAAAATTATTCTAATGAATCCTAAGCCTAACATAAACTTTATGTGAGTTATCACCTTATAGTAACTGGTGCTAACAGACGCCATCCCTAAATACTATCATTTGATGACAATTAATAAGCCTTATAAAAGTTTTGCTCCTGAGCAACTCACCTCCTGCTAAGGAAACTGTAAATCTTCACTTTACTCTGCGATTTCTGCTGAGACACACACTTCAGGAGTTAAATTGGTGACCATTTTAGAATTGTGAATTTTAGCATCCATGAAGTCTGCCAGTTTGTTATTTTCATGTTGCTGTGAATCACTTCCTAACTGTCATTTCCTTTTACTTTTCCTGTCATTCCTAAGGCTTCGCCACAGCCTGATACTCACTGGAATACCTAATACTCTGTTGTTTCTGTAGTGGCCAAGCCCTTTTCTCTGTGACATGAGATGGTGCACGTGCCTCCATCACTACTGCCATCACTGCCACCATCACTCAGGAAACAAACACTTGCCCAGCACCTCCTCCTTAGCACAGTCTGGATAAAGCCTGCTTCTTTCCTTGAAAAGGGACCATCCTTCTTTGTATGTGCAGATATTCTTCCTTAAAGCATTTTTTAAAATTTTTATTTATTTTTGAGAAAGAGTGTGTGAGCGGGGAAGGGGCAGAGAGAGGGGGAGACACAAAATCTGAAGCAGGCTCCAGGCTCTGAGCTGTCAGCACAGAGCCCAACATGCGGCTCAAACCCATGAACTGTGAGACCATGACCTAGTCCCTTTAGAAGTTTGACTCTATAACCATGGGTGTAAGTTAAAAGGAGAGGGGCCCCTCAGTGGCTCAGTAGGTTAAGTCAGAGTCTTAGCTGACTGAGTAACCCAGGTGCTCCTTCCTTAAAGCATTTCAATAGCACTTGTACATTTATTTTTTGCATCAATGGGCTCTATTTTCCATTTAGATTTTGATCTCATGAAGATATAGGAAAAAGATGAAACTAATGATACTGATGATTTTAAATGCTAACATTGTGTAGGGAGTATTTTACTGGGACTAAACATTTACGCCATGCATTTATTTCAAGCAGAAAGATGAGAAAGTGAAGCATCAAGAGGGGATACCATGACCAAGAATTTTTAGGGCCCAGAAATAATTTCCAGCATTAGACTTTTCAGAAGAGAATGTGAGATAAAAAAATAACTCCCCCTTCTTTTATTCAGATATTGTGCTCCTTGTTTTGGTTGTTACATTTTTCTTCTTAACCTAGCATCTTGGGTTTGGGGGGGGGTGGGAGAGGGGGATTCATTATGTACCAAGAATGCATCCAAGCATTTTACATGCAATATCTCATATAAATGTTACAATAACTTAGAAACAAAGGCTTAGAGAATTTAAATAACTTATTCAAATCAAATAGCTAATAAGAAGCAAAAGCCAAGACTTAGACACAAATCTTTCTCTAAATAGAATTTAAAGCTTTAGTATTTTGGAAAAATATACCAGGAGCTTCTACTTGATTCAATAAAATTTTTTTGTGGGACATATTGCCTAAATCATATTTGAGTTATTTCACTCAGCAAATTTATCTTAAGCACCTATTGTGTATTGGGCACTATTTAGATATTGGCATGAAAGTTCTGGCATTCCAGATACAGAGAAAAAAAATAAACATAAAGGAAATTGCATAGGGTGAATTATAATGAAGTGAATGTCACAAATTATGGCATAAGAATACAAAAGGCCTGGCTATGCACAAAAATAGCAGAAATTATATGAAGCTTGTAGCAAGATTGATTACAAGTTTTAAGGTATCAGTCAGAAATTCAATCCTGCTTGAAAATAACACAAAGACATGACATGAGTAATTGCAAATAATCTTCTATCTGTATTTAGCGTTGGCTGAGCTTTTATGAGAACAAGTTGTTCCAGTGTGACCACATTATAAGCAAGATACAAGAAACTTGGAGAGAGTCCAGAGGTCTATAATGAAGATAATTAAAATGTAAAAAG